GCTTAGTCAGTTAATTTTTTCAATTATGTTATTTTGTCTTTCGAAAAGTGTTGAATTTTTGTGAATAGTCTTCTCTGTCCCTGTTCTCGTTAAACAACCCTGTGGGTTCAGCTTCTGACTTTTAAAGAAAGAAACATTCACCAAATTAATCAAAATTTTACATTTTCCGTAGAGCACCTATTTTCAGAAATGTTCTCTGATGTTATTTGTTGCATATTTAATTTTATTTGATCCAATTTTTCTGTAATTTTCTTGATAAAGTTGCATGATAACCTTCAACTTATTCAACCGCAAGTTTTTCCAAAAAGCAAGAGTGACATTCTTCTCATTTTCCGTCGGGAAACCTACTCATTATTTAAGATTTCAGCTCAAGAAAATCTGGTGCAACTATTTTGAAGCAAAAAAATTATTATAACATTTAGGATGGTAATATAGGAAGATACTGTAACATGAAGATCATTAATTTTAGATGGTGCTGGTACTTGATTAGATTTCAATACCATAACAATTTCTTGGTAGTTACTAGAATATTGTTGTAATTAGGGTCAGAAACTTCCCAGTAGAGATGGAGATTGGATACTCAAGTTTCCTACAAATGCTACAAAGATACATATGTCATGACATTATTACACCAGCTTAATCAAGTATATTCAAACACCCTGCAATGTATAGTGCATTCATGTACAATGAGATCAATAATTTCTAAACTCCAATATTTAGTGCTAAAACAATGGGAAACATTATCTTTTGTATATTACTCAGGAAATGAATGTTTTCAAATGATATCCGATGTCGTTACTTCTGAAAATGGATATTTATATTTGTACTTCATTTTTAGCATATGTCTTCAGTTCCCTACCAATGCATTTTAAGATATGCTTTGTATATTTTGCATTGGTTATTCATGTATTAGTTGCACTATCGCTTTACTTTTCAAGGACGGTGATTACCTTTACCCTGAAGAAAGGATGATAGTGCTTACCTTGTAATTCCATTTGTATTAGGCAATGTCCCTCACTCAAAAATGCCAAAGTAGAAGTCAGAAGCTCCAACAGTGTAAACGCAAAATAGAGGAAACCTGGCTGCTGGCAAAGGATGAAGCTGAAAAGTGCAAGGCGGCAAATGCTGTAATTAAGATTCTAACGAGCCAGGTATGAGTATTTCCATAATTTGTTGCTTACCAGTTACTAGGTCCTTTTTCATCATATACAAGTTTCTGTAATGTAACACTATGATAGAAGGTTAGATTGGTTAACACCAAATGGTATGTTTATGTTTCTTGAAGGTAGACTGGCATAGCCATTTGCAGCATCGGATATAATACATGTCCTGTCTCGACCTTCAGATCCACCTCATAACTATTTAAAATTCTGCAAAAAACACAATGATATTCCAACACCATCACTCTAATGCAGGGCTTTAGTTCATTTTTTTTCACAATGGTTAAAGTGGATGAGACTCTGATTTAGTCTAATGGTATATAGAAAGAGAAGTTTGAGGTAGTAGCTAATCATGATAGTACAAAAAAGAAGGATACACCATGACTTCTATCTTTCCCATCTTGTTCCCTTAATTTGGTGTTCTAAAATGGGACTAGTTTGGAGCAGATGAATGCTTTAACAGAGAAGATTTCATCAAGAAGACAAACAAGTAGATCCACCATGGAGGCCGTCAGCACATGTCACGAAACAAAGTTTCCGGTGCCTGAAGGTGAAAAGTTGGTATCTAGTAGCCGTCATCAGAATAAAGATGTAAATGAAAGCATCAAGCATCAGACTTGCACAAGCTCATCCAATGATGCACCATTAGCTGCGACGAGTGCAAAAGACTGCAAACCTAAGGAATCAAAGGATGAATGGGTTGAGCAAGTCGAAGTTGGTGTATATATTACCTTCATTACTTTGCCAAATGGCCAGAAGGGCCTCAAGCGTGTGAGGTTTAGGTCAGTCCTAATTCCATAGTTTTCTTAACAGATACACCATATGCATTCATTCATAGCTCATGTAATTTATGTTGGATGAGCTATAGTTTGTTTGGAGCACATAATGAACTATCTTGGTGCCTTATCAACAGTCGGAAGCATTTTAGCGAGAAGGAAGCCGAGAAATGGTGGGAGGAGAATCAGAGGAAAGTATATTTAAAGTACAACATCCAAAGGATCATTACACCATCTACAAGTAAAATAGGCAATTAAATTGTATATGAAGCCAGGTTGTAGTTGGAAGTTTGGAACATCAAGTATATAGTGATAGCATGAACAACAAACCAAGCCAATTCTCCTTGGCATTTGCATGCCATCCATGTTGTGCCATTGTGTTGTCAAGATTATGTGGATGGCTTCATTTTGACTATTTCTGGGAGCTTTAATATGCTTCAAAGGAAGATGGATTAGGATGCTTTCTTGGAGGAGACATGCTTGCTTATGGTGCAGATCAGGCATTTTCTGTTTTATGCATCAATGAATGTTCAAATTAGTGATGACCTACAATCTCTTAAATTGTAAAGTTATATTACTCCAAATTAAATGAAAATATTAGAGTTCCCCTCATGGACATTGGGACTGTTTTCTGGACACAGTCATATGGAAACTTGTAATGGAGATGTTAATTACTTCATGTGATGTCTGTATCACTCTTATCAGCTTCCTAATAGTTTTATCTCTACATCTCCTTCATCAACCTGGCTTACATTGAATCAGAGGTGAATTACTAATGCCAAGGGAGATATTAAGAGGAAGGACAAGGATCTGAAGCAATGACCGACCGCTAAGTCCGTGTTGGATTGTTTGGATGAGGTCAGAAGATTCATTTGCTGCTGCTGAGCCTGCTATCTAGTTGTTTGATGTAATGTCTTGTCCGGAGCAGATGGCAAAACCTAAGTTACATTCAATATTAATATTAACGCCACGTGAAGATCTATGTAGATGTACGCAAAACCCTTTTTCATGCCATTTTTCGCATAAATCTTAACGTAAAACATATAGCTCTATTTATCTTAGCGTTGTTGTTGATTTTATTGACGGGAAGCATGAAATCGATAAGGAAAAAAAAAATATAATTTCAACATCCCAGTTACATTTTCGATGATAATCGACAGTGGCATTGGTGAGGGCTACGGGTGGATATTATGTACGAGGAAGAACGACAACGAAATGTGAGGTAAAAGAAGAGGATGACATCAATACCGGCATATATGTAAAACAATGAAAGAGTTACTCGGCATTTGCATCGAATCGACATAGATGAGCGACGCCACTCTACATTGGATCTGTCAGTATCAATATAGATGCCGAGTGATGCTCTACATCTGCATCGACATCGATGTAGATGCTGAGCATCGTCGTCCTTCCTTACCAATAGCACTGAGTAGATGTAGAGCATCGATACCGGTGTCATCATCTTTCGCCTCTCCCTTTGCCTTACATTTTATCGTCACTCACTCTTCTCATCCATAATAATCACCCGTGGTCTCGATAGTACTATCGTTTGTCACCATCGAAAACATAACTAATATATTAAAAGTATACTTTTATCGATCCTTTTGTTGTTTGTATTAGTAAAATCGATGGTATTATCATAAATGAAGTTATATGTTTTATTTTTTTTTATTTAAGGATTGAGATGGTAAATAATATTGTGGCCATGCGAGTTAAGGAAGCTATGAGAGGACAAAACAAACAACTCTCTCCACCACGTTTCCGACCTCCATCCCCTGAAGCTTATGTAGGTGGTGGAGAAAGAGGACGCAGAATACGTCTGCTACGCCTGCCGAAGAACTTGCTCCGGCGAGGTCTACATGTCCAAGACATTCGACTTCCTTCTCGACGCCACATGCGCGTGGCTCCCCTGTCGACTCCACCACCCCGCCCATCCCTCTTATCCTCCGCCACTTGCTCGCCTGCTACGACGGCAGATTCGTATGCAACGCTTGTGACCAAGATGGCGACGCCTTCAGCTTCCACTGCCCCCACTGTCAGTTCGATCTCCACCTCCCATGCGCTGCGCTCCCCAAGAAATTGCACCACCAATCCCACCTCCACCCTCGTCTGAGTTCAATGGCCGAGAACATTTCGATTGATCGTCTCAGTGGATGTACCTCTGCGAAGACTGCGACTTTGGCGGTCACGTGAACTGCTTCACATCCAAAACTCCGCCACTGGTCGAGGAGTGCAACAACCGGCGGCAGGACTTGAATCCCAGGCAGCAGCTCCTAAATCTACAGCTCCAGTTGCAGGCTAGTATGATAGCCTCGGATATGTCGGCGGGCGGCTACAGAGCCGCCGCGAATCTGATAGATTCAGGACCTTTTCGGTATAGACACCACGATGCCGGACCACCCCGAGCCTGTACGTTGCCATGGGCAACTCCGTGGTGATGAACAACTTGGCTTTATTGTCCTCAAACGATACCGCGAATGGTCGTGGCGGAAACGTAGCGACTTCCAACGCCCAGGTGGAGTCTGGTTGTAACCTGTTATACTGATCACAAGTTATATTATTAGAGCTACTATCATTTGAATAGCTATCAGATACTACATCCAAAATAAAGTCATGAGCTGTGTTTTCACAAGTTATATTCTTATAGCTACTATCATACGAATAGCTATCAGATACTACATCCAAAATTAAGTCATGAGCTGTGTTTTCACTCCATGACAAGCAAACAATTAAGTCATGAGCTGTATTGTGAGTTTGAGATGGCCTGGTGAATCATCGATGAACATTCTTGAAAAGAACAAGTAGATCAGCAGTTAGTCAGAGGTGTAAACAAATATATAATAGTTTGTGTTTAAGAGAGAAGGAAATAAAAGACGGGTGTGAGAGAAGGAAAGAAGGGATGACATACGAGGATTCTCGCTACCATAATCATCAACCAAGCTCAACAATCACGAACCAGAAGAATCTATTTACCACACAATCGAGCGTAGATTTGGGTAGGATAAAACTTGAGCATATTATACCCTGCATTTCAGAGTTGGCGGGCACAGTGAAACCTATTAAAGAATCAGTTGAGTAAAATTCAAGATCACTTTTGCTTAAAATAGAGAATAAGTGTAGGACGCAGGCTAGTCTATCCACATCTTTTTCTTTGTAACATAACACAAATTTTACATGTTCCAAAATCCCATATATGCTAATAGAGTGGAGCAATCATTCAAAAGTGAGAAACACACAAGGGCCCTCTGCTGCAGTCATACTTCACTGTTAGGGTTATTTCCAGCAAGGATGAGAGAGATCTCCAGCCCCCTGCTAAATGCCTGATTGAAAAGAAGTCGAGTTTGGAAAGTGGATACAAAGGGAAACCAAGAGAACATGGCTACTGGGACGAAGATGAACATGCCCATCCCAGCATCGAAGAGACGAGCGAGGGAGCGCACCGACTTCCAAAGTCGCATCTTCTTCACAAAAGGTTTCCATGCAACGGCAATCTGAATAATCAAGTGAAATACTTGAGTTACTGATAACAAAAATATATCGTAATAATGTATGAGAAAATACACTTTCAAATACTGAGTGCAGCTTGCAAATGATGAGATAACAGCTAGCAACAAACTTAATGAGATGTAAGAAAATGTGAATGAATATGCACAATTTTAATACCAGAAAACATGCTGGATTTCCCTCGTGGGCTTTGCAAATGGATACACAGGCATTTTTATGTTCTGTTGGCTACTTTACTATCCTAGGCATATCCACAATTAAAAAAGAGTGGAAACTGTACGGACTACATAAGTAAGAAAACAAGCCGAACCATGTTACGAAGTCCAAAGCTATTTTTGTACCAGTAAAAATCAGATTATGAAAGATATTCCTTTACCAAATTAAATTGAAAATAACTACAGACATTTTGAGCATTCTGTTCTTAATCTTAATTAGCAAAAATCTGCCTGATCGTATGTATGCCAAGGTTTTTAATTTCGGGTGCCAGACCCATACCAATTCTGACCTGGACCAGTATGGGCCCAAGCAACATTGGCACACCATGTGTCTGCATACCGATATGCATCAAATCTTCGAAAAACCCAAAAAAGAATGAACAATAAAACATTACTACCCATTACAAGCCCTGTATCACACATGCTTGAACTGCACATACCGGATGATATAAGTCCTGTACCGAGCAGTTCAAGCACTTGACGAAGAAACCATCTAGTTTGTCATGATCCATGTGCCAGCAGACTGCAGACCTGTAAATACCGCCCATACCTAATTGGATGGGGCAGTATCGTTGCATCAGATCATTCTGAAGTGAATCAAGGCCAAATAGGACCTTGGTATTGCTGCAATATATGTTTTATTTTCCTTTTCCCTTTGGTTTAAGAAAACAGAATTTTTTTTTCCAGTTCCAGCATCCTGTTTTCTGCTGTGATGTAACAGCATAGTCTTCTCACATGAGTTCTGGGAGATGTAAATCATTAATATGGATGCATGCTTAACCAATTTTACATAAAGAAGGAAACAAATATTCAAGATTAGTGAAGCTACTGACTCACAGAAAGAATTCCCCATCCCGTGGGCACGAATGCAAGGATGCACGCAAAGATGTCTGGCACAGATAGATCAGTAACTGCAATTGCAACAGCTAGGCCAGCTAAGGCCATCAACAATGTAATGCTTTGAATTAGGCGCAGTGGCAATTGGAAGTTAACCCATGCCTTATTGCTGAAGGTGAAAACCTGATAAAGCAGAAGGAAAATTGCAAATGTCAATACACTATTTATAAAGACTATCTTGGCATTGCAAGATATCTGCACAACCTCAAAAAGGACAAACAGTGCAGCTAGCACAATCCATGACCAGCCATATACCTGCATACAACAAATTAATAAATTACTGTATTAGTTAACCCAACAATTTCATTAATTAACCACAAAAAGGCACAAAATCTGTTAAGAAGTTAAAAATAGATGCATATATCAACATATTATCTGATTTATTTCCGATGGCTTTTTAACCTAATTATATGAAGCAGAAGAAATGTGAAAAATTGTTCCACTAGCATCAAATACAATAAGAAGTGAATAATTAACTCATGCTTAAGAAGAAAACCTTGAGCATAATTTTTTTTTTATATGCATGAGTCAAATTTACATCAAGCTAAGCAAAACAAAAGGTCCACATATCCGAGGCAACCAATTCAGACTCAGGTTAGCTCAACTCAATATTACTGTTTAGGCTTATAATTTCTACAATGAACCAAGGCTGACAAAAAAAAAAACATATATACATAAATTTTAAACCAAGCTCTGAAATAGACCAGGTTCAATCAAGTTTGTTTCATTTATGTTGCTACTGCTAGATGCATAGATCACTATTGTTACATCTTGACATGCAAACTACAGTGCATTCCATGTAATATGGTCATGACTATTAATGACCAACAAGAGGCTAGTTGACATTCCAATGTCATAACATTGTTGCAGGTCAAGACATCATATGGTCCATGTGTATATGGAGTAACATCATGACTGATGCAAACAGGTGTGTATAAGGTATACAATAGATAGCTATCGATATGTTATTGCAGAGGTAAAAGTATGTTGGCTATGCTCATCAGTGCACATGCTACACATAATGACACTAGCTATCGATGTGTTATCGTGCCACTAGCATAATTACACGCACAACACGGATGCAAGTAACATAATGATCTGTGGCAGAACGATACAACAGCCAGCATGCCCCTCTATTGATCAACACTGATGGCCACATAACACACTGGTGCATTGGCGGCACAAGGATAAGCTGCTATGATATAGGCAACTAAACTTGACAGGAGACAAGCCGTTTACACAAAATGGCTGGTGAGACAAGATAGGTAATTCAATTTAAAAACATGTCACACAGTAGGAAAATGTTTGAAATTTAAAAAATTTCAAGTCCCTTACTGTCAAGGATGTATCTGTGCCAGATGCTTGCAGCTTGTATACAACACCATACTGGAAGATGAAAAATCTGCAGCTCACAATCGTTTCTAATATCCTTCCACGCAGTGTATGTATATGTGCCTGTATATTTATTTGGCAGCAAACCGTGAAAACCCAACAAGAAAAAAACATTTAATTTCGACAAGGAATTTTAGGATAAGATGTATGAAAGATAAAGCACAATTTGATGAAGTTACATAAAAGGAAATTACAATTTAAGCATGCACCTTAATAACATTCATAGCCCACTTCCAATACCATACCAATAAAAATGGGACAGTTTTGTGAATGAAAGTCAGTATGCACGATTGTTTCCTCCAAGCATTAAAATTCTAGTTCATTGATGAACAAAAAAACAATTTAAGGTATATTATATTCATAAAGGATCAAAAAGACAGTTGAAAAAAATGATATTCACAGAATAAAATTCTTCAAGAAAAAGAAATAGATTAGACAACATAATGATCAAAAGTTCATCCATGACAATTGGACTAATCAATATATTTATAAAAAAAGTTCAAAAAGACCAGCACGGTGAAAATATGCCAGTAACGCTGGCATGATGCATGCAGAGATAACAATTTAGAAATATCAACCAACTGAAACAAGGTATTGTCACGGACAAACTTCTAAACAGGATGTTTGATGTAATGCTTATGTATGTCCGTGTCTTTTGGTATGTTCATGCCTTATACAGCATGTAGGGGGACGGCCGAAGGCTAAATAGTCCCATTTTAGTTGGGTTGGTGGCCTCTTTAGGCTTGTAAATAAAGGTTGTGTCATGTGGACACGTGCGAGAGATTCTCGATCTATAATGGACCATTTTACCCTTTGTTGTGCAACGGTTCAGAGCTTGTAAGGTCTGTTTGTAATTTGCATTGTCTATGAAGTGTTTTTCGGAAATGTTTGCTTGTGGATCCCGATTGAGGCGTTCTCTCTAACCTGTTCTCTCTTTTGTTGGTCCTAAGGGACAATGAGAGGCTTCGGGGAGGCTGACCTTTGCGGACGGACACGCAAGGGTGCCGCACGACTTAGGCAAAACCAGCTAAGTCCGTGACAGATGGTATCAGAGCGGGACAAGCACTCATAGAAACACTTAACATGCAAATGTGGGGGACCTAGCGGGGCTGCGTTGAGGGCAGTTAGCACACGCGCGACCGTTTGGGGGAAAACGGGCATGGAGATGTAGGGAAAACGAGTCGCTCGGAGGAGCGGGCATCCGAGATTGGCATTCAGAGGAATTGCCAACCCTTCGCGCGAGAGGCACCACGAGAACAGACAAGCTTGGAAGAATGTGGAGCGCACAAAGGTTGGGATGGCCGAGTTTGAGCTACGGCTCAACGTTGACAACTATACTTGATGGTGCTCAAGGCAAGCGAGGCGCTTGGTAAAGGATGAGACCATGCAAGGTGGAATAAGTTGCTCAGCGACCGAAAGAGTGGTGCAAAACTCACAGAGGTGAGGGGAATTGCTAACTCAAAGAATTCGGTACTCATGCATGGGTTTGTATGCGGACGATGGAATGTTCGTGGCCATCCCAAGGCGACCGAAACTCGGCGCCATGGAGCATTGAAACTTTCTCTTCGGCATGTGAAGGATACGTCCGTAGGAGGCTGAAGTGTGCAACGAGTTCAGCATGTTGCTAGGCCTTGAGTGGTGCAGCAGGGGCTGTATTGACGTGGAGTCGCAATCTAGCAAGTGTATTTGCAGGAGGCAGAACAATGCACAGTTTGTTCAGCAGATCGGAGTAGTCCAAGGGGATGGTGGTCTCCGAAACGAAGAGAGATGTTGCTCTGACGGGACAGTTATCCAGGAGGGATAAGTCCCGACTCTCCAGAGGGAGAATCAGGTGGGACGGACCGCACATGTTGAGGAAGAGTACCTCAACAAACAACAACTCCACGAAGATCAATGGACCGAGCAAGCGGTGAGGAATCATTGCATGATCTCGCTTGAGAGAATGCATTGGTGGATGCATTGCGAGATCAAGTGGGGGAGCGTCCCAAAGAAACACAAAAGAAGGCACACTTGGAGTCGATTTGGAGATCGGACTCAAGGGAGGGCTGACCCTTGGAATGGTGGGCGCGAGGGCCACCATTGACTCAATGCAAAAACGAGGAGCGGAGCAACTTGGGTGTAACTAGGTGAAGTACCCAAGCCGCATGAAGGGAGCCAGCATAGAAGTTGGAACATGGAGCAGAGGCATAGTGCTTTCCTTAGACAGAGGTCAAGGACATGAACTCTTGCAGAGGCAAGAGTAGAATCATGTTGTTCCATGGGTCATTCATTCTTATCAGAGAGGACTCATCTTGCATGGTGCCAAAGATGAAGGGAGCTTCTGGGCACATGCACCTTATCTCGGAGGAGCATTTGATGGAGGAACTAAGGCGACTCAATTTGCGGAGGCGAAGTTGGGTTCAGAAGGCCTTAGCACGGGGCAAGAAGACGCAGAGGCGGGTACTCTTGAAGAATATGCCACAGTGTTGCCATTCAAGTTGCCATGAAGGAAGCGGTGCGCAGCGGAGATTGTGCTGGTAGGGGCAGAGGCCCAGGATCCAGACAATGGTGCACAAATTACAGTGAAGTTGGTGGACTTCGGGAGCTACTAGGCGACGGACTGTCCTAGAGCGGTGCTTCATCTAGGTGTGACCCAAGAGTGGGTGGATGAAGGTCGATTGCCAAAGGAGCGAACAAAATCGAAGGTGGAAGAGACCCTGCGATGTATTGGCAGAGGCCACACATGGAGGGTTCACAATTCGAGTTTATTCCACAAGGATCAAAATGCAATGGAGATGTCACCAGGAGGCGACATGGTGCAGCGGATCGTGGTGGAACAGTTCGTGGCAATGCGATACACACGACATAATCCCATGAGGGACTAGATCATACGGAGGTATGATCGGGAGCTACTGGAAGCTCCACTTCGGTGAACAACACGACGGCAAGAAGGGCTATGGATTCAAGGAGTGAAGGCCATGGTACCGCAGAGGCGGGTCTTCCGTGCGTGCATCGAATTTTGCATCGGATGAAAACCTTAGTCATCAGCATATGGGGGCTGTATTCCACCAAGGGAAAAGTTCGAATGCAAGTACCAGTGAGTTCCATGGGAGGGACTTGATCATGCAGAGGTATGATCGAAGCAGCTGGAGAGTTGGACTGCTCCAGAGCTCATATTCGCTTAAGGGAGCCCGACAAGTCAGAGGACAAGGTCGAGTAAGCGAACGTTGCTACCAAGGAAGCTAAGGAGAACAAAATCGGTGTAGACCCTATAATGCGATGGCAGAGGCCATGCATGAGAGTTGCAGTCTGTCTTTCCATCGACCAAAGGAGAGCTGCTTGGAGAACACAGAGGTGTTGAAGCAGGGGGTCGAAAAGGGCGAGGAAGCGACGACGAGTCCAGAGGGACTTAGCTACCCAAAATCAAGCATCAGTTAGAATGGAGGTGGACTCGGAGGAGTGCCACAGAGGCATATCTACTGATTGTGAAGAAAAGAGATGCAGATGCGAGACGACGGATAGTAGTGCCATGGGCATGGCAGTGCCATGGTACCGCAAAGGCGGGACTTCCGTAAAAGTCATTGATCCCTTGCTCTCATGGAGGGAGAGCGCTTGGTCGTGAAAGGGGCCGAGGAGGTGGAGCATGCAGAGGCAATCTCCAAGTACCGAGACAAGGCTGAAGGGTAGAGGCTGAGGAACTTTGTAAGACCGGTGTCAATGAGCTTCTCATCAAGATAGCCGAAAGTGAAGGACTTCGGGTCATGCAAGAGTGCATAACCAAGGAACGAAGCAGGCAGTACGCGGTGCTGTACCTTTGCTACTCAGTGGAGTAGGCGACAAGGTTGATGGAGAAGACGGTACAATCCCAGAGGCGACCAAACCTATCAGAGAATTACTCCAAGTTGGGGTGAAAACTTCCTGGATTCCAGAAGTTCGATGACATTGAGAAGGTGAATCACAGTAACTAACTCAACGCAAGGAGTGCAAACACTTCAAGTGCTTCAGAAGTGTGAGCAAAGAGTAGGCGAAGGCCAGTAACCAGCTCGATGCATGGAGTACAACCTCGAGGAGGCGGGCGAAGTCAAGTAACCTTTGCCCTCTCAACTCTTAAGAGAATGGGCGAAACCGAGTACCCCAATTCTCTTATCTATCTAGCAGAGGAGCTCTGCATATGTTCAAAGACCCTTTGAAGATAATGGAAGACAATAGTTGTCAAATCCTCACCAACGGTGACCAGTGTTACTGAGAGTAGATTGTCTGCTTCATTTCCCAACGAAATGGCAATCGAAAGTGGAAGTGATGCGAACCTACTTGGATGTGACAACTAAGTGAAAGAAGAGTCAATGGGCAAATTTTGTGGAGGAAGGAGCTAAAACTTCAGAAATTTGCGAGACGATGCTCGTTAAAGCTCCAACAAGCATCCACCCAGTTCAAGCAGCATGAGGAATTTGAGAGACTGGCGCAGTAAGGATGGTCTTTTCCTTCATCTGGGAGATCCGCAGGAATCAACAATGATCAACACAACTCAGCCAACCCCACACTAGAGTTAAGAGTCATTGGTGAGTTGAAGCAGCATGACGGATCAAAGGTTCGACAACTCAAAAACAGCAGCGGAGAGCAGCTAGGAGCCAAGAGGCGCATTGTAGCTGGATGAGAAGATTGAAGACTCAGCAAAGGCGAGGAGTTGCAGTGTCGACAAAGGCTTCAACGAGGATGTCGAAGGAATAAGTGGGGGAGAATGTCACGGACAAACTTCTAAACAGGATGTTTCATGTGGACACGTGCGAGAGATTCTCGGTCTATAATGGACCATTTTACCCTTTGTTGTGCAACGGTTCAGAGCTTGTAAGGTCTGTTTGTAATTTGCATTGTCTATGAAGTGTTTTTCGAAGATGTTTGCTTGTGGATCCTGATTGAGGCGTTCTCTCTAACCCGTTCTCTCTTTTGTTGGTCCTAAGGGATAATGAGAGGCTTCGGGGAGGCTGACTTTTGCGGACGGACACGCAAGGGTGCCGCATGACTTAGGCAAAACCAGCTAAGTCCATGACAGTATGTCACTCTCAAAATTATAGTCTTATCCTTTTATACAACCCCTTCCACCAATGAATTGATAAGAAACATTCTCTCTGAAGAATTTTGTAATTCAGAAAACATTGTTTTGATGGTTTTAGAAATTTTATGTGCCTACTGAATAGCTAAGAATTTTTTTTTGAAAAGGAAAGAAATAATAGACACCTCCCATGTTTGATCTGGTTGTGAAAGTGCATAAGGCTCCTACCAAAACGGGGTGCAGGAAAAGAATGTGTGCAATCTTACTTATACAGGCATAGAGACCGATTCCATGACCCAAAGGATGGTCACTTTAATTGCAAAGGAACAATCATATTACGACATCAAGGCCTAGCCTATATCTTCGATCTGATCATACTAACCAAATGAAAACACTATTATCGTTATTATTAGTTTATTGAAGATTCTACTTTCATTGTGCACACAATGGCAATAAAAAATATGAAAAAAATGATAGGAGGACCAAACGCACAAGCAGACATCCGATATTTTATACACCTAGAATTAATTTTCTCCACAGGACCCTATTTAGTTTTCCTAAAATTCATACTTACTTAAATGTTCCAAGGAAGATATCATGTCATCTATGGACTGGTACCCATTGTTAAGTTCATCCCTCAAAAGAAAATTTCCATCACAGAAGTAGCACAAGTTTTAATTAGCCATCTTCTTTTATGGTGCATAAGACATGCTACAACTGAAAGAGACTAGCAGTCAAACAATAAGTTATATAATGACTGACAAAATGGCTCTGATTATTTCAAATCTGCTAGTAACAAACTTAGGGAAAGTTAAAGTTGTATTTAGCTCAAATAATAAAAAAATGAACCAACAAAAACAACAACAAAACTGTCAGCCCCACCAACTATCTGTGAGATTGGCTAATATGGATTTTTTGCCACCACTGATATATGTAAAGAATTATATCTCTAGTTAAGAGTTTTTATTTACAGTTTCTACTAGAGCAAAGTGATTATATGGAAGACTCTAATGTATGTAAAATAAACTACAGACTTACAGAGTACCATACGAAACAAAAAAAAAGAATTAGGCAATGCATAACAACAACCAAAAGACAACAAAAAGAAGCCGTATTGCGCCAACTATTAGGATCAGGTACATGGTCTCTTCCTGCTATTTATGTGAACTGAGAGCAATATCATTGGTCAAACTAAAAGGAAACATACTATTTTTCATGATTCTAAAAAGTTCTATTTGGTCTTCCTCTACCTCTCCTTCCAGCACTAATTGTGATTGATTTATTAGATTTTCTTCTACCTCTCCTCACAACACTATCATCGTCAATCTAGGAATAAACAACTCATTTGTTATAGTTTCTAATTAGTCTCTTTTAGCCTTCCTATACCTCCGCTCATACCATTATTCATAATTGATTTGCATCTACAGGTCTCTTTGGAACATGTTTATATCTTAAATGGTCGTCTCATTTTATCATCAACCAATCATTCACAAATGTGGATATTATTAATATAATCTTGTTTAGAGCCTGCACATGAATCTCAACATCCTTGGCTCCACAACACTTCTGTACATGTGATTTCCTACCAGATTAACATTCAGAACATAACAAAGTAGTTGGCCATACGATGGTTGGGTAACTTTTCAATTAACCCAAGACATACACAACAATTCCATAAATGATCCTCTCCAATTTAACCATTATCCTTCTTTAGTTCTGTGCACAATAGCTTCAACATAGATCCAAGAGAGAACTTTTACCTCTAGGTAGTTCTTATCTTCAAATTTTAACAATATTATACTCTCTTAGAAGTTGCACTTCATATATTTATCTTCATCCTATTTAATCCTACTCAAAATGTTTTAAATGGCAGTTAGACAAATTTTTTCAGTTTTCTCAATCCAATCAAGCAACAGGAACAAACAACCATACCAGTTAATATCTTTCATTTTCTTATTTTTATTATTCTTACAATGACACTGGTCAGCAAACATTAGTGTCCTGAATATGCCTAATTAAATCATCCATTATAAGGATTTAATGTGAATCCATGATGCAAACCTACAGTGACAGGAACTCAATAGAATTTCCTATTGTCTTAGCATAGTGACTACCCTTCCACACAATTTTTACAACATCATAACTGTTGCTTAGCCCTTCTCCCAAAACCACCATGAAATATCTTCAGGCACTATAACTTTCTATCAGCAAAATAGAAAAACTAAAGATACAACTAAGGTTCTTAAACTATTTTAAACTTCATTATATTAAGCCATGTCTACACCAATAATTTTTTCATAATCCTTAGCGATGATATTTAAACCATTCTAAAGCCTTGATTTTAAGGTTCATCTCATAATTCAAAATAAAAAATTAATCCCAAGTAAACTCTTCTTGACTAAACTAATGCCATCAACAAACCATCACATCCTCAATTGGGAAAGGTGTGTGGTATCAAAGTGACACTTGTTTACAAGAGTAGCCTAGACTGCTACAATCTATGGAAGACCTGGACAAAGGGCCTGTCCAAAGAAGAAAAGGATAGAAAGGTATGAATAATATATCATCATCGCATGCAAAAAGATGAGAAAACTAGGATCACAAGCAACACAAAAAAAGGTCTAAATTTGAAGATAAAGGCCGGTACGGACAGTATCATTCGAAATTAAAATCCTTGCCTAATATATTCATCCACTATAAGGATTTAATGTGAATCCGTGATTAAACCTAAAATGGTAGGAACTCACTAGATTTTCCTAGCTTTAAGTCTTAACATTAGTGACAACCCCATCACAACTTTTACAACATCATAACCACTACTCCAAAACCAACAATAAAATATCTTAAAGCACTCTCTATATTTTACCATCAGAAAAATAGAAAATTTAAGACACAACTAAGGTTCTTAAATTATTTTAAACTCGATTATGTAAAAATCCATCAACAGGCATCTGAACAAGTAATTTTGCATAATCTTGGGCCGTTAGCGTACCAATTCCTCATCCCACCATGCCTCCCAGCTTTCCTCTCCCTTTACTCCAATTCCACCTCTATAAAATAGCCAATTTGTCCAATCTCGAAAGTCCTCCACTGTCCTGAACAATAGAAAATAGCTACATTGTAAACTAAGGCATCTTTTAGGCAAACGTATATGCTGAACAGAGTGGGAATACCATGGGATGCAAACTAATATTAAGACAAAGACATGAAACTTACTTCTGCCACTCAAAACCAGATGGATTAAACAAATATGGAGCAAAAAGCCAAGATAATGCCATGATCCAACTACTAACAGAGAGCAAGATGTACGAAATAGCTCCACCACTGTTATAACCATATGCAAGGAATATTACCAACAAAAGCACAACTTCTAACCTGCAAGAGAAATATAGGATATTAAGATGAATTTCCTTATAATTATTGAAGATGAACCTTTAATTTTGGGTAAGATTGCAAACCCCTTCACAAAATGGCTACGGGAGTACAGCCTATAATTTTCTGCAAACTTGATGTGACGAACAACAAAACCCCTACCAGTGGCACGGTACTGATATAAAGATAAACCAGAATCAATATGGTGAACATATTAAAGCAAAAAAAATAATAATAATAAAGCAGTAGTGCACAAGAGATTTTTGCCTTAGCACCCCCATGGAGAATTGTTCTGCCAAAATAGTGTGTCCTTGTTCCAAGAGAAAATGTGAAAAAGACTGAGCAAAGCTGCAGCTGCATTGTTGTGAAGCTGACAACAGCCTGTACAAAAATTAACCACAAAATATATGTTTGTATCATCACGTTCTTAATAAAATTAAATAAGACTAACAAAGAAAATAGTACATAAATTTCTATTAAATAAATTTACATGTTCACTTTAGAACCATGAAAAATCATGTAGAAGGATTCCTCCATGAAAGCTTACAAACAACACTTGTCAACATAGCACAACAGCAGAAGTTCAGAAACGAAGTTTGACTAGATGAGAAAAGCTAAAGCCATCTGTGGGGAGCCAAACATATATCATAATTGGAAAAGTTCAACTAACTTTTGATATTAAGTGAATTCTCCTCTACTGGGTACTATCATGAGCAATTTAACTGGAGTTCAGGACATCTACAAAGAATCTTATTTTTCGTTGAACATAAAAAAAGTTACACAACAACAATGATATTCTATCCACTTCAATAAATAACACTACAAGTGTAATCAGCAAGAACATTTTATTTCTTTGAGGACATATTACTATGTGGTTCCTAACATACATCCCCCCTTCTTAAGGTCCAACTGAGCAGCTGGCAAATTGATGATAGGCTTCTAAACACATCACATTTTGGCTGATCCATGGTTTGGTGCTTCTTTCAAACCTTAACTGGATTCGGAGAAACAATCATGATTGGTAATCCTTAATCAAAACTTCTAGATAATTAAAAAAGGTGTACCCAATGAACGATTGGAGGCTCCCGCTAATGTGGGATTTGCGGATGTCAATGTACATAGCTTTACCTTTAGATATTTTAAAGTGGCTGTTTCCGTGACTTGAACCGTTGTCTCCTAGGTCACAAAGGAGCAAGCTTACCGACCAATTCCAAATGCTTATATTTTCAAAAGTTTTGGCCAATTTTGATGTTATTGGCCCAGGTAGCAAAAGATTGATAGGGTAACCATATAAAATAAAAGATTTATGAATATACAACTCTATTCCGAGACATGAACTTTGTCAGATTAGATACTGGTCATAAAGCAATTAAAATAAAGAAATGAGTTCTATTATTTTCATAAGTATTCATGCTTCTAATAGCATGCTTTTCTCTTTTCACTTTACACATCAGTACCACACTCCAAGATTCACTCACCTTTCGAATTTATTCACCAAAAGCTTCCATAAGAAAGGAACAATGATGTCAGAAAAAAATAAAAGAAAAAAAATGATAACATGCATTTATTGGACAATTGAATCTGATAATCAAACATAATTGATGTCTAAAAAGTCATCGATGTCTAAATAACCAGTTTTGCATTGAAATGACATTTCAAGGATGTCATAAGAGGTTATATCAAAATCTATACTTTAAGCACTTAAATCATTTCTACACATTTGGTACAGGAATATCATTGATATTCATTACTCAGGCCCTTTTTTAACAAAATTGGAAATTACACATTCTCAATTGTGTCAAACCATTATATTTAATAATTCTAAACAAATTAACCACTTCAACATCAACTACAATTTGCAAATATAGAAATGAGATGGGTATCAAAAGTGGATACCATTAGAAAACCATATTCCAGTATGAAGCCCAAAATCATTGGAACAGCAGTGAAGACTCCGATCTGAAACAGAAACTGTGTGTTTAGTGCAGCATCTAGGGCAGTGTTCTGTAATATGTCCGCCCGAATCTGAATAGCTTCACCAATGCCAGATAATGCCTGCATCAACAATTACCATATTCTGGTTTAAAAAAAACAGAAAAAGAAAAGAAAGAGGTAACATGTTCACCTAAGGATACCAAAAGGGTAATATGTTTACCAAAAATCAAATGAACTTCAAGGTTTAACAACAAAAGCTAAAGCTCAGCAAAATCTCCAATAGTAACAAATTGTCAGAAATGATAATATTGACAAGAAAAATCTAAATAAAAATAATATTGATTGGAAAAGAAAGCAACTCATTGCAAAAGGCTCCAGCCAATACAAATCTGCGATGGATCAGTGTAGGCAGTCTTTCTTCTACAAGTAGAAAGACTGTTTCTGTGACTCGAATCCAGGTCACCCAGGTCACGAAGGATTAACCATACAATTGTACTGAGGCTTGTGACAAGCCATTAAGTGAATTCAAACATAGCAAAGAATTTTGAGAAATAACCAAAACCTTATCTCGCTGATGAAGGCAACGGCTGTGTTTTGTTATCATTTCTTCCATTTGCATCTTGATGTCATATAGTTACTATTAGGAACTCACAACGCAAATGTGTAGCAATGCTTGTGGCACTGAGTTTTTGGTCTATCGAAAGAGAAAGTGACATGCCAAAATCATGTCCAACACATTATTGTACACATCAGAAACTTCTGCATTGCTGAATAATCCTTTGAAGAAATTCTTAGTGGCATTTATCTTGATAAATTTTGTCCGTGTAGATTCCCAAAGATAAGTCAATCAATGCTACAGCATATGATTCTTTATTTTTTAATAAGTTGTGGCAACAACTTCTCGATCATAGATTTTGCAGTATCTCTCTGTCCTGAGCTCTTTGGGGCTGAATAAGGTATTTCTTGTACCGTTATACTTTATTACTTTAGTGATAGGAGTTGGTATACTTCCCCACTAGGAAAAAAATGACAGATATATTAAATAGGAACAATTAAAAATCCACAACCAGTACCATCATCTTTTGCACTATGGATTCCTAGTGAAGGAAAAGGATGTCGACATAAAGTTCAAAGCTTAATAGGCTAGTTCAATTAATACTTTAATCTATATCCATGGACATTTCCTTGTTTATACTAACAAATATACTTCAAATTTGCAAATGTGACCTAATAGCATTTGCTATACCAATTAATTACATCCAACGACATGGACAAGGATCTAGTACGGATGTAATATATGGATACTTCAGAATACATATGATTTTATATTCAAACATATGAATGCCGATCCTTGAGAGACACTAATATTTTATTATAAAATATAATTAAAGATTTAAATACTCTTAATTTGACAACACATATAGCATGTGGCAAAGGATCCATGTAGCCAATCCCAAATAGTCAAAACATATAGGTTGTTGTTGTTGCTACTGCTTTTATCTTGTTCCATGAGTAATTGATATATATATGTTGTATTCTTCATCCTCTGCTTCTGTGAATTATTTGTATGGATTACATAATTATGCTGATGTGTCTAATTGAAAATTTATGATTTGAAGTAACTTAAATATAATGTGTATGATGCAATTGTGTTATGTTTGATGCTTTTCTTTTCCTTATGTTCAACCTAATGAGAAGTGGTAAATAACAAGTGCATGATTATATTTATTTTTTCAAGATGAAACAAAGACGACGACAAAGTGCTCTAAGCTATATAAGAATACAAGTTTACATTAATATTACCTTTGAAAATACAAGTTTAAACCATTTTCCATCATGGTTATCATTTATTCGTTTTGATATAAGAAAATAGAATAAAAAAATATGGTGGTCAGTTCTGTTGTTGCATGATATGAAAATATAATGATTAATCTTGATAGCTACCTTCATATTCATTTAAAACTTTATAAAAGTGTACAAGTCCTAATGCCCCTCTCCACCTAATATCTGGTTTTTACTCTAAGAACGATATCATTAAAGAGGATAAAAGCAAAACCAATTTCTTCAATCATTCATGAAGACCAATTCTTAACTTATGCTACTTAGATGAGAGGTATAGCATTGCAAACAAAGTGATGATCATGGTCTATAATATGCCACTTAATTGCAAGGATAAGATCTGTTTCGTACTTTCACGGACAAAGTTCTAAACAACCCCATTTTAGTTGGGTTTGGTGGCCTTCTTAGGCTTATAAATAAATGTTGTGTCATGTGAACACATGTGAGAGATATTCGGTCTGTAGTGGACCATTTTGACCCTTTGTTATGCAACTGTTCAGAGCTTGTAAAGTCTGTTTATAATTTACATTGTCTATGAAGTGTTTCCTATAATGTTTGCTTGTGGATCCCGAGTGAGGCGCTTTCTCTAACCCGTTTTCTCTTTTGAATGTCCTAAGGGACCATGGGAGGTTTTGGGGAGGCTAACCTTTTACGGACGGACACGCAAGGGTGCCGCATGACTTAGGCAAAACCAACTAAATCCGTGACAGATGGTATCAGAGCGAGACAAGCACTCATAGAAACACTTGACATGTAAACGTGGGGGACCTAGTGGGGCTGCGTTGAGGGCAACTAGCACGCGCGACCGTTTGGGGGAAAACGAGCATGGAGATGTTGGGAAAAGGAGTCGCTCAGAGGAGCGGGCATCTGAGAGTGGCATTCGAAGGAATGACCAACCCTTCGCGCTAGAGGCACCTCGAGGACAAGCAAGCTGGGAAGAATGCGGATGGCTGGGTTGGTTGAGATGGCTGAGTTCGAGCTACGACTCGACATTAACAACTACACTTTATGGTGCTAAGGCAAGCGAGGTGCTTGGTAAAGGATGAGACCATGCAAGGTGAAATGAGTTGCTCAGCGACCAAAAGAGTTATGCAAAGCTCACAGAGGTGAGGGGAATTGCTAACTCGAAGAATTCGATACTCATGCAAGGGCTTATATGCGGACGATGAAATGTTCGTGGCCATCCCAAGGCGATCGGAACTCGGCGCCATGGAGCATTGGAACTTTCTCTTCGACATGTGAAGGATACGTCCGTAGGAGGCTGAAGTGTGCAGCGAGTTCAATATGTTGCTAGGCCTTGAGTGGTGCAACGGGGGCTGTATTGACGTGGAGTCGCAATCTAGCAAGTGCATTTGCAGGAGGCAGAACAATGTACAGTTTGTTCAGCAAATCGAAGTAGTCCAAGGGGATGGTGGTCAACGAAACTTTCAGAGAGAAAGAACCGAAGAGAGATGTTGCTCCAACGGGACAGATATCCAGGAGGGATAAGTCCCGGCTCTCCAGAGTGAGAATCATGTGCAACATATCGCATATGTTGAGGAGTACCTCAAAAAAAAAAAAAACTCCATGAAGCTCAATGGACCGAGCGAGCGGTGAGGAGTCTTCACATGATCTCGCTTGAGAGAATGCATTGGTAGATGCATTGTGAGATCAAGTAGGAGAGCGACCCAAAGCAACATAAATGAAGACATACTTGGAGTCGATATAGAGATCAGACTCAAGGGAGGGCTGACCCGTGGAATGGTAGGCGCGAGGGTCACCATCAACTCATTGCAAAAACGAGGAGCGGAGTGACTTGGGTGTAACTTGACGAAGTACCCAAGCCGCATGAAGTGAGCCGACATAGAAGATGGAACATGGAGCGAAGGCGCAGAGCTTTCCTTGGACAGAGGTCAAGGACATGAACTCCTGCAAAGGCAAGAGCAGGATCATATTGTTCGATGGGTCCTTCATTCTGATGGAGCGCACACATCTTGCATGGTGTCAAAGACGAAGGGAGCTTTTGAGGCACATGCACCTTATCTCGGAGAAACATTTGATGGAAGAACTAAGGCGACTCAATTTGCGGAGGCGAAGTTGGGTTCAGAAGGCCTTGGCACGGGGTAAAAGGACGTGGAGACGAGTACTCTTGAAAAATATGCCATAGTGTTGCCATGAAGAAAGCGATGCGCAGTGAAGATTATGCTGGTAGGGGCAAAGGCCCAGGATCCAAACAATGGTGCACTAGTTGCAGCGAAGTCGATGGACTTCGAGAGCTACTAGGCGACAGACTGTCCTAGAGCGGTACTTCATCTTGGTGTGACACAAGGGCGGGTGGATGAAGGTCGATTGCCAAAGGAGCTAACAAAATCGAAGATGGAAGAGACCCTGCGATGTATTGGTAGAGGCCACACATGGAGGAATCACCATTCGAGTTCATTCCACAAGGATCAGAATGCAATAGAGATATCACCAGGAGGCGATATGGTGCAGTGGATCGTGGTGGAACAGTTCGTGGCAATGCAATACACGATATTATCCCGTGAGGGATTAGATCATACGGAGGTATGATCGGGAGCTACTAGAAGCTCCACTTCGGTGAACAACACGACGACAAGAAGAGCTACGAATTCAAGGAGTGAAGGCCATAGTACCACGGAGGCGGGTCTTTCGTGCGTGCATCGAATTTTGCATCGGATGAAAGCCTTGGTTATCAACAAATTGGGGCTGTGTTCCACAAAGGGAAAAGTTCGAATGCAAGTACCAATGAGTCCCATGGGAGGGACTTGATCATGCAGAGGTATGATCGAAGCAGCTGAAGAGTTGAACTGCTCCAGAGCTCATATTCACTTAAGGGAGCCCGGTAAGTCAGAGGACAAGGTCGAGTAAACGAACGTTGCTACCAAGGAAGCTAAGGAGAATAGAATTGTGCAAACCCTATAACGTGATGGCAGAGGCCACACATGAGAGTTGTAGTCTATCGTTCTATCGACCAAAGGAAGCTGCTTGGAGAACACAGAGGTGTCGAAGCAGGGGGTCGAAAGGGGCAAGGAAGCGACGACGAGTCCATAGGGACTTAGCTATCCAAAATTAAGCATCAGTTAGAATGGAGGTGGACTCGGAGGAGTGTCACAGAGACATATCAACTGATCGTGAAGAAAAGGGATGCAGACGTGAGGCGACGGATAGTAGAGCCATAGGCATGGCAACGCCATGGTACCGCAAAGGCGAGATTCCGTGAAAGTCATTGATCCCTTGCTCTCATGGAGGGAGAGCGCTTGGTCGTGAAAGGAGTCGAGGAGGTGGAGCATGCAGAAGCAAACTCTAAGTACCGAGACAAGGCTGAAGGGCAGAGGCCAAGGAACTTCGTAAGTGAAGGACTTCGGGTCATGCAAGAGTGCATAACCAAGGAACGAAGCAGGCAGTACGCGGTGTTGTACCTTTGCTACTCAGTGGAGTAGGCGACAGGGTTGATGGAGAAGACGGTACAATCCCAGAGGCGACCAAACCTATCAGAGAATTACTCCAAGTTGGGGTGAAAACTTCCTGCATTCCAGAAGTTCGATGGCATTGAGAAGGTGAATCACAGTAACTAACTCAACGCAAGGAGTGCAAACACTTCAAGTGCTTCAGAAGTGTGAGCAAAGAGCAGGCGAAGGCTAGTAACCAGCTCGTTGCATGGAGTACAACCTCGAGGAGACGGGCGAAGTCAAGTAACCTTTGCCTTCTCAACTCTTAAGAGAATGGGCGAAACCGAGTACCCCAATTCTCTTATCTATCTAGCAGAGGAGCTCTACATATGTTCAAAGACCCTTTGAAGATAATGGAAGACAATAGTTGTCAAATCCTCACCAACGGTGACCAGTGTTACTGAGAGTAGATTGTTCGCTTCATTTCCCAACGAAATGCCAATCGAAAGTGGAAGTGATGCGAACCTACTTGGATGTGACAACTAAGTGAAAGAAGAGTCAATGGGCAAATTTTGTGGAGGAAGGACCCAAAACTTTAGAAGTTTGTGAGGCGATGCTCGTTGAAGCTCCAACAAGCATCCACACAGTTCAAGCAGCATGAGACATTTGAGAGACTGGCGCATAGTAAGGATGGTCTTTTCCTTCATCTGGAGGATCCGCAGGAACCAACAGGGATCAACACAACTCAGCCAATCCCACACTAGAGCCAGAGTCATTGGCAATTTAAAGTAGCATGGCGGATCAAAGGTTCGACTACTCAAAAACAACAGCAGAGAACAGCCGAGAACCAAGAGGCGCATTGCAACTGGAGCAGAAAATTGAAGACTCAGCAAAGGCGAGGAGTTACAATGTCGACAAAGGCTTCGACGAGGATATCGAAGGAATAAGTGGGGGAGAATTTCACGGACAAAGTTCTAAACAGGATGTTTGATGTAATACTTGTGTATGTCCGTGTCTTTCTATTTATTCATGCTTTGCACAACATGTAGAGGTACGGTCGAAGGCTTAACATCCCCATTTTAGTTGGGTTTGGTGGCCTTCTTAGGCTTGTAAATAAATGTTGTGTCATGTGAACACTTGTGAAAGATATTCGGTCTGTAGTGAACCATTTTGACCCTTTGTTGTGCAACTGTTTAGAGCTTGTAAAGTCTATTTGTAATTTGCATTGTCTATGAAGTGTTTCCTGGAATGTTTGCTTGTGGATTTCGAGTGAGGCGTTTTCTCTAACCCGTTCTCTCTTTTGAAAGTCCTAAGGGACCTTGGGAGGTTTTGGGGAGGCTGACCTTTGCGGACGGACACGCAAAGTTGCCGCACGACTTAGGCAAAACCAGTTAAGTCCGTGACAGTGCGCCAGATTAGCTTTTCTAAAGCGAAACCTAGAATGACCTCTCTCTCTCTCTCTCTCTCTCTCTCTCTCTCTTTCTCTCTTTGATCACAGTTTGCTCATGTCAGCCATTAGCCACAACTTATTTGGTGCTTCTCTCCTCTTTCTCCCCTCCTTTCTCCTTCTCCTCCTCAATGCCAACTGGTATGCCAATGTACCATGTGTGAGTACCAGTATATTTCTAGTGCTGCTGGGAACTAGCACACTGGTATGTACCAAACCCATACAGACCTACTTGCTTGGTAAAGATAAACATTATCTGGGCACGTGCGCCCACGTGTAGATGTAATAAACTTGCTTGGTAGCTGAGTACTAAATGTATATTAACCTAATCAACCTACTTGCCTAAAAACTTCCTAAATTGTTAGATTGGACAGATGGCTAAACATATTTGAGCTATCTATACTTTCTTAAATCCACAATCCCAATCTCATACTTTAGAGCAGGAACCTTTGGGTTTTAACAAGCACAGGGACTAGAAACTCCTTTGGTAATAAATAGGACAGACATATATGCCAATGATTACAAAGTTAGTGTTATCTAGATGAGACCCTGCAACACAAGACTAGGGATTCAAGTGAAATAATAGGACTCAGAAAGATAGAAGCATCAAACTAATGTCAAAACTATTTTCTAATGGTTTTAACCCACAGCAAAAGCAAACTTAGTCAACCTCAGGATAGAAATGGCCACAATGGTAGGAATGTTTAAACATAGATAGGTGAAAACTGCTTCAATGTATCATACTACTTTTAAATAGTTAATGTTTTACCCAAGGATTGAAATTTCAGTACTGAATCCATATTGGGACCAGTCCATGTCAATGTGCTGATACAGGGTATGCCAGCATGTACTGCAGTACTTCCTGCTGGGGGAAGGGTGTGTGTGAAGGAAGAAAAAGAGAGGAGAAGAAATGGAACAAAAGAGGAAGTAACAAAGATGAGGGTGCAGTGTCAGCGAGCTGCGGGCCATTGTGCGAAGGGAGACAAGCACATGGAAAGCAAAATTCACATCGGAGCCCTAGAACAAAACACCTAATTCCCTAAAGAAAAGAAAAAATAACAGCTGTTAAAAGCAAAAATAAACCAAACTGCCAGAAATGTGGCGGTCGGGATCTAGGCTCATAACCAAACCCATAAGTACGGGTAGGTACAGACCGTGCTAGGAGAAATTGAATTCCTTGATTTTATGAAAGGCACAACATGCACAACCTCTATACGGAGGCATCTTTTGTAATTTATTTATCATATCATTATGTGCTTTGAATACTTTCTCATATTTGCCATAATATTTTGCATAATCTTTAGTAGGATCTAACATTTGATGTGCTCACTTTTAATAAGAATTCACACGCCTTAACTCTCTTGTTTTCTTTATTATTGTCCTCCTTCAAATTCTTAGTATTTTACAAGAATTATTGTTGACAAGTACTTTGATAATATTATTTACCATTATTCCCCATGAAATAGATCGAGTTAATTTGAACAAATTATGTTTTAAACTATACAAGGAACAAGAACTAAAGGATGATCCTAGCATAGAAGGCTATCTAGTGATTGCACCAAGCCCATAGGACATAGAAGTCAATGCATTTATGAGATTGCATATCATCAATCATAACAAATATTAGAACACAACAAATCACTTAACAATTGCCAGTGTGACAATTATGTGAAATCAATAACTTCTAGCATCATATGTTCATTCTTGTATAAAGTTATCCATATTAAATATATAAAACAATATTGTGATTTCATATTAAGGACAATGAAGACCTAAAAATTCTCAATCAAGAAACACAATTTCGTCCAGACCATTGAATTAATAGTCCAGGCATGAATCGGCATGCAAATCACCCAACTATGGGGTAGACCACATCAGGTACAAGGGTTATTGCCTGATACAAGCTTGGTAATGGGTGTGGATGAAGCGGTAAGCCAATTTTTTGTACTTTTTAACCCTAAAAAGTATAAAATCACTTTAAACCCCCATATCTCCCTCCTCCCTACTGCACTTACCTCTCATGATCTACTCCCACGTCGTACATAGCTTGTCAGTGGTACTCTTCTCCTAATCTGCATCATCTGCCATTGTCTTCTCCTCATCCTCTTCTCTATCATCCCCTCCACTTCATTTCCCACTCCCCCCTTCAAGTATAATGGTGGCGTCATGTTAGCATGTCAATATGTAGATTGAGACCAGACCTATACCAATCAAGCCAGTTGCTAGAATACTCAAAATTGCATGCATTGCTATGAATCATACATAGTCCCAATGTCATTCAACCAACTGCCTTCATTAAAAGATACAAAGAAATAATTAACTTGTGACGATTAATTAATCTCAAATTTGTTTAATTCTTGATTTTTTATGCTAAATTACTTGTACCAAAAAAAGAAAAAGAAGTTTTTGTGTTACATTGTCATTGATCACATTTAAGTTGACCAACTTCAGCCAGAACATGATCCGCAATAGAAACTATAAAATATTATCTAGTAAAAGATGAACGCTTCATAAGGTAGAAATACAACTTTAGGAAACTACAAGAAAAGCATAAAATCAGGAAAAGATTGGAAAAAATTACAACAAAGCATAAAAATAAAGTTTACACAAAACAGTGTATTTCTCTAAGAAGCTCCTGTTCTATATACCAATCATATTTTATGTAGAAACCTTCAGCTTGTTGAACTTCATTAACTATAACTTAGAAAAAGGAAGCACCATCAAAATGTCTAATGGTAGACTTATCAACTGCATGATCATGCAGTTTAACGACCTATACATTTATAAATTTAAATGTCAAATCAAATTTCATGGGTCACGCAGAGTACAGTTAATTTATTCTATGACCAATGCAATCAAATACTGTTGGCTCATAGGACAGAACTGTTTTGTCATTTTCAGCATGAACAGAGCACATATTGGTTGCTTGTTTCCAATGTATTGAATTTATAAACCATCACTTTGTATTCACAAATCTGAAGTTACATTGGAGAAGGCAAAGAAACATACCAAATAAGTTTTCCCATATAAAAATATGTACACTGTCAGCACAGTTAACTGCAATGAAAAAAGATATTTAGAAGTTACTCTTAGAGAAAAGAGAGAATAAAGAACACTGCAGACACAAGAACAAGCAAGAGCTGCCATTAGTTGAAACAAAAGAGTAGATGCAAAGAAAATCTCAATTAGAAAATATGAGACTTATTGCCAAAAACTCGATTCCGTAAATTCTTAACTATAATCACGTAGGTTGTAGATAACCCATTTTTGGATCATATAAGTGAAACAAAGTATTATTCAGAGTTCATGTGGTTAAAGATACCTTATGAAATATACAAAACATGATTAAGATGCCTTATGAAATATAAAAAATGCACAAAGAAGAACTAGTTGCATGCCTATTGAAGCATGACAAAGTAAGACTGTGATTTGTCAACATGGAGAACTAGATTTAGAGAAAAAAGATGGACAAAAGAATTTGTCATACTAATTGATATGTATCAGATCAGTCAAATCGTACCATGCCCAAGTGGTACAGGCATATGCCTTATCAAACTGCGCCAAAATTATGAACCTATGACAACCAAATTTTGGCCTGTATTGATCAGCACAGGGAAATGCTGATCAGCATGGCACAAAATCATGACATGCCAGGAGGTGTTAGCATGGCTGTTTGCCACAAAATGATGGTTCCTAAAAGAACGGAGCAAAAGCAACCTTTTTAGGCAAATGTGGACTTAATAGCCTATCCATGAGACCTTAATACACAGTATTATATGGGAACATACCATTGTACAAAAGTAGAAACCCACGGTTGTAACATAGAAAGACATCATTCGGAAAAAATCAAAGAGCTGGCCGAGTCTGTAAACATCCCTACTGAGGACTTGTTCACCATTGCCTCCTGCAACCTTCCCTTCAAATAGTGCAATCTGATTCAAGCCAACATCTCTTCCTTTTCCAACCTGTTAGCACAATACAACTCAGAATCCAATAAAATAAACTATTTTCAAAATATAGAGTTTACCTGAATGTACTCGTGATGAGTGATATTGCCCTGCCGCAAAGTTGAATTGAAACCTGAAGGCCATAAAGTAGTGATACTGATCTAAGTGGCTATTTTGAAGAAGATGAACATCACTTTGCTTAAGAACTTGGTCAAAAAACACAAATATAATGGAGCATCAAATTATGTTGCCTAATAAATGTATAAAACTATAAATTTTACAACATTGCACCTATGAATTACATACCTCGAAGCATCGTTTCAGATCTCGATATAGGACCCATACTGATCTTTGGTTGTATTGACATAGATCTAGTACATACGAGTAATGACATACGGTATGCCAGTGTACCAGTTGGCACTGAGATATCTGGATACAGGAACCATATGGGATCCATAGAGACCTAATGACATATGGTATGCCGGTGTACTGGTTGGCACCGAGATATCTTGATACAGGACCCATACTGATCTCTTGTTGGACCGATATGAATCTAGTACGTACCAGCCAATTGGCATATGGTATACCAACATACCCGATTGGCATCGAAATGGGGGGAGGAGGACATAAGTATGAAGAAGATGAGGAGAGGAGTACGAAAAGGAAGAGGAGGCACATGAGGAGTACTGAAGATGGTGATGTAACATGCATTGGGAAACAGTGGGTGGTAGTGGCACGAAGTTGGTGCCCTATGGCAGAGGGAATCAGGATTGGGGTAGAGAAAGAGAGAAAGAGATTATAAAGACACCAATCGCTGTTGAAACTCGAAAATAAATTTAAATTGGATTAGGTGAAAGAGCTCCATTCAGGTGTTAATTCTTTGTCGGACTAGCAAATGCCAGTTGGTACAAACCAATTTGACTGGTTTTTAGTACCGTGCCTAGAAGGAAATAATAGCCTCATTAAACTAGGTTTTGTGATGCCGAATCTGAAGAAATTCTAAAGGTAACAGTAAAAATCAAATAGCAACAAAGTTGAAATGCAAAAAGTTGTATGGGGTTTTGAAAGAACATATCAACTGACTATAATATGCAGATTAAGCTCCCTCCCCCTCCATTAAGTTTACCATGCAACGGAGTAAATCTTAGATTAAGATGTAATTATGTAAATATGTTCTACAAAGAATGTCCACTTATTGCATCACCCTACCAAGACAGAGCAGATCCAGCGGACCTACAATCTTTATGGTTATTGGCCAGTAAACTAATTATGGCAATTGATGCCCATCTGACCCATACAAGTCAACCTCAAGAAGAAAAGAAAGAAAAAAGGAACCAATTTGGCAATATAGTTGATCTGGACTGATATATATTAAAAATCAAATGGTAGATTCCAAAACTGACCCAGAGCGAAGTCCAATCTGAGAAGATAATCCATAGCCAGAAAGAAAGAGAATTAAAAATGAGAAGAACCACATAATTACTTTTTTTGGGTCACCTAGAATGAAAATGAGTACCATAAAATCTAAAGTTAGCATCAAGATTTTAACAGAGTCAATAAAACTGAATGTCAGCATCAGGTGGATTTAGCAAATGGCTCTTTTGATTACATATATCCAGGAATAACGGAGTCAATATAGAAACTAACTTCTTTCCAATCGTATGTGTGCAATGATTAAGAAGTTGCTGTTGAGTGCATAAAAATAGGTGGCCTAGGTAGTCGAAGATAAAATAAGCAACCAAAATGGTTAACTTAGTTTAGTAACTGCAGAAGGAAATTTCAGCATGTTCTTCTAGTTCTTGTACATAGGGAGATAATATCTCTGCTCTTAAACCCGTCAAAAACCATGTCCATTCGACAGATGATTCAGGTGTTTCATCAGTAAGCACAGGTGTTATAGTAACTTTTTAAGTCATCGAAACTACCAAAAGAAGGCTCATGTGAGTATACAGTAAAAACCAAGAGGATCTATAACCATTAGCATAACTTTTGATGGCAAACTAGAAGGAGCAAATCATCAAGTGAAACAAGATACAGCATATTAGCACTTTTGGGAAATCCCTTGTCCTTTCCAAACTCATACTATAGGACAAAAAATACAGTTTGAAAAGTGTAACAAACCATGATCCCAGTTTCGCTACCTTTGGTACCATGCCATCAAGGACTAAGTATTTCACTACAATAATAGCCCAAAATGTTCCTAACAATGTCACACATACCAGTCCACCTGGGAACCAGGACCAGACCTCCCAGTTTCCAGCTGTAATATTTAAATCCACAGAATCATGATTTGGACCCTCCGAAATAATTAACACATGACTTGAATTTAAGAATAGATTGAAAACTTATAATTACATACAGAATATATAGTCACTACATCTTACTTTTCAACATACACACATGCATGAAAAAAAAAAAAAATATATATATATATATATATATATATATATATATATATATATATATATATATATATATATA